CGGTCCAACCTATACATAGATGGCATTTACATCGATATTCGTCAACCGAAGCGACGCAAAATTTATTTTAGTTTAGAAATTAGTCAAGGAGAATTCGTAAAGAGAAAAGGTGCGCGGACGTGCTTTTCGCGTCATTTAATCGGGACCAGGCTTTTAAGTACTTGTTTATCGGTGATCAAGAACTGAAAGAATGACCCGTAAGTAACTTGCATCGTTGTTTTTATGGTCACGTACGAAACGAACATAAAAATAACAGAGGAACTTGGAATCATATCTATATGCTGCCCGTCTGCCATTTGCGAATAATTCGAAGATCGAAAAATATTTTAACGTAAATTATAACCAATTATTTATATTTTTCTGTTTACGTACAAGCAATCACTTCTAACGAATATAATTTTATTTCTTCACGCTGGAGGAGTTCTTATGTGTATTTACATACTTTTACGCATTATGTGATTTTATATTCTACGTTTCATTGTTTTAATATTTTTCACTGATAAAATATCTTAAGTTAACAAAATTATTTTACAATTGGCGTAACATTCTCATTTCATCTCGTTTCGTTTTAAAAGTTCAAAATAGCATTTCTAAAAAATTCTGAACTTGACTTTTATGGTATAATGTTGTCTTGCATTTCATTACTCTATTTCGTTGAAAATTTGTTTCTATTATAATTTAATATTGTCTAATAATTTGCATTTTTTACTTTTACAATTAAATTCCATTATTTAAGGTAGAATAGAATTTTATTTATAATGTAATTATATTATAGGCTATTTTAGTATTTGAATTGTTATTTGTTTTTAATGTTTTTTAAAATATTTAATTTAATAAAATTTATTATTTGGTATTACCATGCAATAGAACCAAATTTTAATCAGTATCTAATTAAACAAACTCTTGCTGGTTGAGTCCACTTATTTGAACCTAAATTTTTATTATATGGATGAAAAATTATTAATAAAGGGGAGAATCAGTGGACTCCTATCATATGAACTCTAATTATATAAAGTATTTGTCCCTAGATAAATTCATATAAATGGATATTCACTTACTTGGGAATATATATTTTTGATGTAGGTGGAAATCAGCGAGAGTTAGCACGAGCCAAAAATATGAAAAAAACTGTTAGAAAATCTGCAGCTGAACAGGAAAGCAATAAGGGTCTTTCATTAGAACAGCGGAAAGCACGGTAATAGTATTTTATATGTACTTAAATTTTCATGCATTTTTTTACATATTTGATATTTATCAGTAGATTATAAAGATTATCGTTAATAATTATATCAAAAGTTAAATGACTTTAATAGAATTTTGAAATGGTAAGAATATTCTAGATTCTAAAATGATTGATTCAAATTTTTTCCAACAATATATATCATAATATATAAAATTATCTTGTTTCTTTTGTTCTAGAGACGCAGAACGAATGAGAGAAAAACAACTCAAGAAACAGCAAGAGCCGCAAGAAAAAGTCAAATAAGGTACAAGATAATTTCTTCAGTTACAAGATGTAAATTGTTCGATTCAAGAATAAAATTTTAAGTATGGTTTTAAAATTCTTGATTATGAAGTATCAAGGCTATGCTTAATGTGAGTGCATAAAGTATTCATAGTGTTTTTAATTATAGAAAATATCTTCAGACTATAATGCAGTATATATTACAAAACTAGATTCAAGTAATCATATTACAAGTTTCAAGTAATCATGTTAGTGTGTACAAAAATATTATTATCTATACTATAGTTAAAGAAAATGCGCATTTGACTTGTTCATCTAGGTATAAGGACATTGATTAACTATAAGAGTATTTATAGTACTAATTTTTAAGTTGTAAATTCAGATTTTTAGTTATTTAATATGATGTATAAGTGATTCATAAATTACATACCATGTAAAGAAAACACATACATTTGTGATTCTGTTTGGCTCATAATAAATTGTTTAATTTTAAAATATTTTAGATTTTTTTATTTTTATACTATATTAACATTTCGATACAAGTAATTTTATTTAATTATATTTCATATAGATTATTTAATTATATTTCATATAGATTATTTTAATTAACTGATACTAATATTGATAGGTATACATGTATTTTTATTATTTATTTCCTTGTACATTCGTTACAATTTTGTATAAGAAAAAATTATATTAATGAAATTTTCAACATGTTTAATTTAAAATATAGCTATATAGAATTTATCAAAACAAAAAAGAGACATTAATTGACCATTACCTATTTTTTATTGCACTTTCCCAGAGATAGTACATATTTAACATATTTATTTATTACTTGAAAAATTTGGTATAAATTTTACAAATACTTGGAATATTCGAAACAAATATTTGAAACTGATAAAAACAATGAAATTTTATAATTCATATGTAATGCTTATTAAAAGATAAAATTTTAAAGATATAAAAATCTTGGGTAATATGTTATATTGTACAATAAGCCTCTAAAAATTAAAATCCCTAAAAATAGATTATAAATAAGAGCTATTCGACTTATTTTTAAATAAAGAAAAAATTCATGGTTTGTTTTTCCTTTAGCACTAAACTATATTAGTTCACTAATACATTTATAAGCACAGAATTTTCTTTCATTAATTATTTATCAAACATTTCGTATATAAGGAACCATATTACATATTGAGCGTTTATGTAATTATACTGTATGTTTCAAAGTATAATTATAAAATTTAATTTGATGAATTTATATAAATTTATATAAATATCGAATTAAAAATTAGTTTGCACGAAATATTTGTTACATAATGATTACGAGTGTTGTATTGTTTCTACTTTTTAAATTTTCAATATGTAGTTAAAAAAAATAAATTTAACTAAATATATAAATTACATTAGTTATATAATGAATTAGGCAAACATATATATATATATATATATATATAATATATATATACCTCCATATATATATAGTTACCTCCATTTTATTGGAAACATATTTTATCAAATAATTTAATTTTTCTTATACAAAAAAATGTAAATTGTGATTTACAAACAGTGTAACTTTTTTAACACATAAAAAAATTGTTCTTTACATAATATATTCCAACAAAAATGTAATATTACAAAAAAGATATATTATCGTATTGTTTAAATCAAATACTACGTTCTATGTATTATTGATATTTTAATATGTAGTATTGAATTTATTTTTACTGAATATGAGAATTCTTTTTGATCAAATATCTAAATGTATTATTAAACATTACTATTTTTAATATTTTTTAATAATAGTTTAAACATTAATTTTTATTTAACGAATAAATTTTTGATCAAATTGCTAATTAAAAAATGCAGTTACCTTTTATAAAACTTTTAATAAATGGAATATTATTATACGCTAGAAAGAATATTTATGGTTATTACAAAATTATAAAACTGTGTATGTATACATGTTTAATTTTATAGAACTTGAATTCAAACTTTTTCTTCTTTTTGAGTTATACTAGCAGTTAAATACCATTAAGTTTGTTCTTTTGTTTATATGTGTTTTTAGAAGAATAAAAATTATAATTAATCAAATAGCAATTACATTTCATCAAATCATATGAAATACGTAATTTAGAATCGATTTTCATTTTATAATCTTGATTATAAATTTTAGTATATTAATTGTATTCTATATAAGAATATTTTAATAATGCAATGCAAAACATTACTTGTAAAATTATAATTTTTGATTGATTTTTTAAATGAACAATATTAATTTTTATATAAAGCTATGATATCAAGTTAATAGTAAGTATATTTTTGAATCTTTTCTGAACACTGAAAATGCTTATTCATGCAAAAGAATATATAAAATATGTAATTTATTTACAAAACTGTTAAAAAGATTAGAGTATGTTATAACTAAACTGCGGATTTTTATGCAAATTCATCCTTGAGGAAACAAATAAGAAAATACACATTCGATAGAAAATTGTTTTATGTAGTATAGAAAACAATACTTTGAATATTTTATGTATTTTTTTTTTATATTATGTGCATTTTGTGTAATTGAATTTTTAAATTTCTTCTAAATGTATAAAACTCCGCAGTCTATTTAACATAATGAGTATGCTATGAATTATGTTATTTAATGATGTACATTTTATATATGTATGTACATATGTAAGACTGGATAATCTATGTAACTGGATCAAGCTAAAATTTTGAAATTAATTTTAAAAATATTTTAACTTTAATTTATTATTAGTATAATTAAAATTTATTTAATATATTTAATATAAGAGAAACGAAAATATAAATGCAAAATTATTGTGTTATATCTTTTCTTGTCATATGATAAGTTTGAAGTAAAGATTGAAGTTAAAATATTTTTCAATTTAATTTAATCAATTTTTGACTAAAGTATGTTTTACCACATTTTTTATAGATAATTTTATAGACAAAAAGATACATTAATTGGCGTTTAAAAAAATGTATAGTGCAAAAAAATAATTTTCAGAAAAATTTAGAAAAAGAATTTTCAGAAAATTTTAACTTGATAAAGATCATGCACCATTTAAAACTATTTAACTTCGTTTCATGAAGATTTTCTATTTTCTGCCATTCCAAAATTATAGCTTGCTTAAATTTATATTTGATACATGTATATTTATGTTTTACATTATATTATTGAGATATTCTATTTATGTTAACAATTTAAATATGAAGGAGTTAATAGTAACTTGTAAATAGAGTTGTACACAATTGTATTCCTGTAGATATATTTTAAAATCGATTTCGCTTCTAAAATGTTAATTATCGAATATAACATAGACATCATAGTATTTTTACAAATATTTAATACATAATAATATATAGAATCGTTTTTATACTAAGAATACTTAATATTATATAGTATAAATATTTTGTTTACATCTGTATTAAAGACATATCGTTATTATATGTCTTTCATATTTTATACGATACAAGATGAAGTACTTAATGTACTTGAAAATTTGACAAAAATTTGTCTCTGTTTTAAAATTACACTAATAATAAATGCTAATTGAGCTTAATTACTGGAATAATATTAATAAAACATTGTATCTGTAATATTAGCACCATAACTGTATTGTTTTGTAGATGAATTGTGCACTCTAAGCAAATATGATTAAACTGAATTTACTATTTATACTTCTGCAGTATGTTAAGAACACAATTATAATTTAATAATGTTTCCAAAATTGCACATTACAAAGTTTTATAAATAATAAAACTTGAGAATATTGAAAACAAATAAAACCTTGTATAGATAATTAAAAAGTACATAGTAAAGATAAAAAATTATAATTCATTTTAAGGAAAACAAAAATATTATACTGTTATAATGTTTTAAAACTCCAATATCAAATCATGCATACATTATCCAATATCAAAATATGCATACATTTCATATGTTTTATATTAGTATATTTAAATAATTCATGTAATATATTTATAGTGAAATATCATTTGTAGTTTGTGAAATAATTTCTATTTTATGTAAAATAGGAATTGTTAGGAATATTAAAAATATTATAAAGAATATTATAAATAAAGCACTGGAGTTAGTATTAGGTTTTAAATTTTACTTTATAAGTATCAATAAACATTGTAACATCTCTGCTCTAATTTTATTGCATGTAAAAGAAACACAACAAAATGACATCGTACTATATTTTAGATGAAAAAATATTTTTATTGTATCAAAAAGATATATGAAAAGGAATATTTTATAAATAATATAATTTTAAAACTGATGTATGAATAAACCAAAATATATATTTTTTAATCACAGCTAATAAACATATTAGTAATATAATTTTGTTTCACTTGTTTGAATCTTGAGCTCTTGTCAAACTAAATAAGTTTCAAAAGTGATTATTGATTTTTTGTTTGATTTGCAAAACTACAATATACATTGTATAGCAATATAGGAACATTTTCCCACTATATTCTTATTAAAAACCAATACATGTATTTTAGGCATAATGCTCTGTTTAACTATAACGATAATTTAGAAAATTTTTCTTTTCTTTTTGAAGCAAATGTTATGGAGTAACAAATGCAGAGCAATTTGTAATTGTCCAAAGTTTTAGTTTTATGTCCCATATTATTTTAAGTATATGCTTATGATAATATAATAAGAAGAAGTAAATTTTACTTATTACTTACTAATTGCCTTTTATATCTTTTTCTATATCTATCTTAATGTTTTTGTATACCTACAGTTCATTTGAATTTTTAAATTTTGAATCATTTCGTCATAAAATTTGGGTCGATTCATCATGAATTTTGTTCTATAACAACATTATTAAAATGATAGGAAAGAAAATATCAATGTATTATTGAAAGATAATTTTTTCCATGATTTTTAATATGAAAATACTGCTATAAAAAGATTGTAGAAAAAGTAAATAAAAGCAATAAACAAGATGAAACAACATTTTTCCCAATATTATTTTTCATACTATTATTTTAAAGATTAAGAGAACATATAGTGCAAGTTTGAGCTATGCAATGAGCGTGTAAGCGCGATGGATGTGTTGAAGGTGTTGAAGGTGTTGATGGTGGTGGTGGTGGCGGCGGTGGTGGTGGTGGTGGAGGTGGTGGTGGCATATATAACCATCCGGTACTAGTTGACCAAACGGTACCTGGTGCAGAGGAAACCGGAAATAACGAATTCGCATTACTTCCGGCTGCTACCTGCGACGTTGGTCCACCCTCTACTCACATTACCTAAAGGATGGAAGTTTCCAAATTTCAATTCTATTAAATAATAGAAATTATTTGTAAATATAATTTTATTAGAAGCTATTTTAAGTTAAGTTTAGATAGGTACAAAAACTTTTAATGTAATAGTCATCGCATTTATCATATTATATTATATTAATAAAAAATATATTTTAAATAAATATGTTTTTTATTAATATAATATAATATGATAAATGCGATGACTATTACATTAAAAGTTTTTGTAATAAAAAATATATTTTAAATAAATATGTTTTTTATTAATATAATATAATATGATAAATGCGATGACTATTACATTAAAAGTTTTTGTACCTATCTAAACACATATGTATAATAAATTATAAGTAATGAATATGTATCTGAGAACATCTAATTGTCTCAAAATTATGAGTGATACGAAAAAATGTTTCTAACGAAATTTGTAGAATAAAGAGGGAGACTTATAAGTAGACATTTAAAATTTTGAATGAAAATCTTTGATACATTTTTGATACATAATCTTGTAGCTGACATCAAGACGTTTTTAAAATATTATATTTGTGATTTTTGTATAAATTATCATGGAGACATGAGCTTTCAAATTTTGCAAGGATCCAACATTAATATTACGATGTATACCGCGAATAAGTTGCTCAATCAAAATATTAAAAATAAATTGCTTGTAATATGCTTATAAATAATATCCACGAATTACAAACAAGAATTACAGTACAAATACTAAAAAATACTATAAATATTAAACTTAAACTTTAATATTAAATATTAAAAAATACTACAAATATTAAACTTAAACTTAAAAAAGTACTACAAATATTAAAAAATGTGGAAAAAAAATTCCTAAGAAAAATGGAAAGATGTACACTTTTCGATGGACAGTATATTGAAAAAAAAATAATACAACAAAAATAAGTAAATAAATGTTAAGAGACCCTATTAAATATTTGAATAAGAGAAGATCGTTATTACCAAAACTTTATAACAATTCAGTGCTAATTCAGTGTGTTCTATAAGACAATAATGTATGAAATTGAATTGTATATACATACATAAGCACATAAAATCGGTTTTTTTTCAGAACCATGATGTATATAAATTTCTATTATATTTATTATAAAACCTGGAATTTGTATAAAAACCATAAGCGTACAGTGTTTTAACATTTCAACGTCAGCTAAAAGAATATTTAATCAAAAATATATGTTACAATTTAAAATTTTAAATGTGACCTTACAAAGCTTTCCAAGATTACTATAGGGACAAACAAATATCACAATCATATATCCTTTTTATACTCTATAATTTTTGTCTAAAATATTTCTTTGAGTCGAGATAAATTTGAGTATTTTTAGATAAATAGTATATATGTATATATACATATATTATACAGGATATTCACGAATTTATTAACTAGAATTTTTCTCATAAACGGTATGAAAAAAATGGTTATGAAAAAAAAAATAAAATAGGACAAAGTAGTACTATTTTTCGTAAACAACATGATATTATGGAATGAAGGTAACTTTTAATTTTTTAAATACTTCATATCTTTTTATATCATACGAAAACGTGTATCAAAATGATTACAACAATGTAAGACCCAGAATGATCTTGTTCGTCATACAAAGTCAAAAAAGAAAGAAAAATTTTGAATATTTCGTACTGATTTATTTACTAATACACAGAATATTCCTAATATATAAGAAATGTATATTCATAAAATACTCGAATTTTTTTCCTTTATTCTTGACCTTGTATGACTTTGAAGGTCATTTTATGGCATGATTTAATTTAGGTTTTACTAACTTTAGATTTTACTACTAATGACATAAAAAAATATGTATGCGTTATATTTTCAAAAGTGAAAGTTAGCTTCATTTCTGAAAAAATAATGCAAATACAAAAATATATCATACACTATGCTTGTAAAAGTACATGTTGCTTATAAAAAATAGTACTACTTTTTTCTCTTTCATTTTTTTTCTTATATTTACTGTTTATAAGAAAAATTCTGGTTAATAAATTTATGAAACTCCTGATTTAAAAACAAGATAAAAAATTATGTATGTTAGAAAATATAATTTTTTTCCTTTTATAAATTAATATTATCAAAATAAATCTTCTGTTAAGTTTTTTTAATTTTAATAGTAATGATGATGTTATTCAATCAATATGAACGAAATAATTACATTGCATTGGTAAAAAGTTTCAATAGTACATAAATAAACAGTAAAATGTTTCAATAATAAATTCATCAATTCAAAAATCAATAATAAATTTTAATTGGTAAAAAGTTTCAATAATACATAAGTAAAATGAGGTTACAAGAAAATATAATAATTTGTAGAGATTATTAAACTATAGCATTTTTTTTCGATGATTGATTTTTCAATCGAAATGCATCAAAGATATGTAAATGGATTCGATTGATATATAAATATATATATATATATATATTTTGTTTGTCTAATGAAAATTTCTTAA